AGCATCACTAGTGAATTAATCAACTGTTAAGTACTCTGATTTAAGACTGGTCCAGATCTGTAAAATCATTTCCCAGAAAAGAAATATTATAATTACAATAATAATGGCAACCACAATAATAATATCTACCTTTACATAGTTTTAAGTTGTAGGAATCTGGCTACTTTAGAGTAAAAAAAAAAACCAGTCGGAAAGCTGTTATTTTGTATTCTCTAATAACCCTGCAATGCACCTGCTGAGACAGACTTCTTGCTTAAAGGCAACAAAACTAAATTCAAGTTGCAATATTTAATCCATAAATAATATAAATAAATAATGTCACCGCTGTGGGGTAGGGAGACATCAGAAAATATAAAACATGGGTAACTTAAAATCCAGTCAACCAAGCAGAATTTTCACTCAGACTATGATTGCTAAGAGAGTCTGGTTAAGCATCATGTAGTTTTATTCTTTTTTTTATATTCAGTCTGTTTTGCTCAGTTGATTTTTTTGCTGAAGAGAAGAACGAGCAATGTGAAATCACAGCAAGAAAAAATGGCTTTGTGGTTTTACCAAAGCCAGGATTTTCAAGATAGCTCATAAGGAAGTTTAATTTCACTTCAAGGTCAAAGTAGTAAAAATTATGGAAGACAAATGGTGCACCTTCTTACACCTCCGAGCTCTGTGGGAAAACCCTTATTTTGCTGATCTATATCAGCTATGTTTCCTCTCTTTCAAATCTCTCCAAAAAGCACCAAAATTTCATTGAACTTCATCTAGACCTTAGATTGCCAAATTGAATCTTATTCCTCTCTTTCTTTTGCCTTCTTTTCTATCTTCATTAACCACCATGTAAAAGAATCAACTGTAATCCTAAACAATAAAGAAATAATGAATTTTTAGATATGTACAATCCTCACAAACCTCTGATCATAAATGGAAACTGAAATTCCTACCCTAGCAAACCTTATGTTACCACTAAGTAAATAGTGATCACACACTTTAAAATCTGGTATGGGTCATAAAGTCTTGGCCATTCACATTAATATGAGCACGTCTGAAGGATTCTAAGAGAACTTGAAAATGTGCCATCCTGGATGGTATCCAGAAATTTATAACCTTTGCAGAAAATGTATTGTGATCTGTAAGGGAAAACTTGCAATACATATGGTTAGCACAGAATTATTTTTTTTCCTTAGATGAGCAATGAGAAAGGCAGGTTTCTCTTTGCCTCATAATTGTCAGCTTCAGTGTTGGTGAATCACAGAGTTCCAGTGAGTATTGCCATGGAAACCTACAACTAGGACTGTGCAACTTATCTTTGTTAACATATTACACTGTTTGCAATGTCCTTGTTCAATTCAAGAAGTTTAAAGGATAAGAGAAATACCTCCAGATCAGTCTCGATACAAAATCATGTTCAGACTCACTTTTAAATCAGTCAGATTCTGGTTTTCTGTACACCCACTCAATATGCATTATTTGTTTCTGAGCTATATCCATCACTATGGCTTTAGTTTAACTCTTGACATTTTATCTGCACATCTTTCCCCTTGCTTCAGAGGGGAATAAGTTATTGCATGTGGATTCTATCTAATTTGTTATCATTTGCTACATCCAAATCTATTTCTGGCTTCTTTACCATCACCTTTAGTTGTTGTCCACAGCCATAAGGTTATGCAGGTCTAGAGGGATCAGATGGAATATAAATATGATGCTCTACACCCTTATTTCATTAAATACTATGCACATGGTAGTGTTATATGAACACTGCTGTGTCCACCTGCTGTGCATGCAACCTGCTGTGTCCACAAATTTGCCATGCTTTAGTCTGCTAAAACTTTATTGGGCACAGTATGGAAACTCAATTAATACTGGAAATTACATTGCCTAATATCACCCAAGTTGCATACAATTACTTTTTCATGATATCTTTTGTTCAATCCCAGGCTAACTTAAGAGAGTAAGGTCAGTGTCCTTCCCCTTACAAAAGCCCATTGACAGGAAAGCAGGGATCTGCTGGAGAGTCTCAGTGTGGAGGCCACTGGCATGGCAACAGCTGTAACCTTTTCACCTTTTCCCAAAGCAGCTCTGTTGCTGTGTTGCAAACTAATGAATACTGAAATTTGACTGTTCGATAGATTTAGCTTCATAGCAGCCTTATTAAAATTACTCATCTTTATTCCTTTAATTGGTTTTTATGTTGGGGTTTTTTTCTTTAATTTTTCCTAGGCTCTAGGTTCCTGATCTCACAAACAGAAAACGTCATCATGCTAGGAAAAAACACCCTAGGCAGCATCTGCCTTTCACTTTTTCTGTTACTATGGAATATGGTGGAATAACATACTAAATAGGGCCCCAAAATCCAAACATAACCCTCTCTAAACCTTACCTTCCTTCAGAGCTTGACTTGACTAGATCATCTTAATACCATTCTATTCATAAATCTGTACAAGTCATTAACTTATAGAAGATGCAATACTGCCAACACCTCTGCCTATGAGATGGTTAGCAGAGTATCTTTCACCATGGAGCTGTCAACCCAATATCCGAAATGGTTTCATGTACTCTTTTCCTTTATACAGAAGATTCTACATGGGGGGGGGATGGGGGGGATTAAAAAAAAGGATTTAAAAGCAAGGAAAGAGCAGCACTTCAGTCTCCATAGACTATACTATGAATTTCACCTTAGAGACTATCCCTGTACTGTACACATAGAATCCTAGTATCATTTAACTTGGAAAAGTGCCTTCAGATCATCATATAACACATATTCCAGAAAATCATATTGTGAACAATTAGTAGAATTTTGAATTGGTTGAAACTACTTTTTTATCATCACTGGAACATAGTGTTTGGGTGGGTGGTTAGAGAAATTAAAAATTATTTTTTAGACACACTAACAAAAATTAAACTAAATTAAGCGCCAATTAAACCAAATCAAGCTAAAAGCTGGGTTCCATGGCATGTGCAGTGCTTCAAAGGAACAAGAGCATTGTTTGAGTAGATATATATATACTGCAGTATATATGTTTGATATATGTGTAAGGTCTGAGCTGCCAGCAATGTGGAGAATTTGTCTTTTGCATTCATAAAAGGTTCTTCCTGATTGTTCCCCTACCATGTTGCTGTTGGTTCAGCTTTATGCTACTCATTCTTCATCAGTTTATTGATTTCAGCACCAGCTAAAAGTGCAAGGCTCTCCTCAGGCTCTTTGACTGAAAGTTAGTGCCTGTTAATAAAACCCCCTAGAAAATGAGAAAGCATCCAAATGTGGAAAACCTGTGCATCTATTTTGAGATTCTTTATACTTTAGGTAGGCTTCTCTGTCTATTTAGAGCTCTAAAATGTCATCAAATTGGTTGGTGGTAATTGATTGCTGCATGTCATAAAATGTGCAATATATTTATTAGCAATTTTGGTCCTGAGATTGTTCCTGACAGGGTTGGGAAAGGCAGAATCCTGTTGGCTATATCCTATTTCTGAACACTCAGGTTTTGAGAAGTTACTTATGTTTCTCTAAAAGTTTAAACATTATTTATTTCTAACATAACATGATTGTAATAACTGGCTTTCTGCTAAATCCTTGTCTTATGAGTTAAGATAGTCCTCTGTGCCTTTTTTATGTGATTTATATTTGTGTACACAATTGCAATGGGTTGATCCTGGCTGGATGCCAGGTACTCACTAAAGCTGTTCTCTCACTCTTCTCTGCAATTGGACAGAGGAGAGGAAAAAAAAAAAAAAAAAAACAAAACACCAACAAAGGATTCATGAGGTGAGATAAGAGCTGGGAGAGGACACTCATCACCATCATGGGCAAAACAGACTCAAAGTGGGGATATTAATTAAATTTGTTACAAACAGGATCAGATCAAAAGAGTGAGAAGTAAAATAATCTTAAAAACACCTTCCTCCCACTCTTCCTTCCTTCCAAGTTCTACCTTCTCCCCCCCAGCAGTGCAGGGGGTGGGGAATGGGGGTTATGGTCAGTTGTTCTTTCTGCCGCTGCTGAGGGAGAGGAGTCCTTCCTCTGCTCCCGTGGGGTCCCTCACACAGCAGACAGTCCTTGATGGACCTCTCCAGCATGAGTCCATCCCACAGGCAACAGTTCTTCCCAAACTGCTGTCCTGTGGATCACTGTTCCATGGGGTGCAGTCCTTCATGAATGAGCTATACCGGCATGGGTCCCCCACAGGGGCCACAGATCCTACCCAGGAAAAACGTGCTCTAGCATGGTCCCTCTCTTTACAGGCTGCAGGTCTCTGGCAGGACCCTGTTCCATCATGGGCCTCCCACGGGGTCACAGCATCCTTCGGATATCCACCTGCTCCAGTATGGGTTCCTCCATGGGCTGTAGGTGGGTCTCTGCACCCCAATGGTCCTCCATGGGCTGCAGGGACACAGCTCCTCCACCATGGTCTGCACCATGGGCTGCAGGGGCCACAGCTCCAGTGCCTGAAGCACCTCCTCCTCCTCCTCCTTCTGCACTGACCTTGGTGTGTGCATTGTTGTTCACATGTTCTCACTCTGCTCTTCCCTGGCTGGAATTTTCGCTGCGCAAAAACTTTCTGGTCTTAAATATGTTATCCCAGAGGTGTTATTGTCATTCCTTATTGGCTCGGCCTTGGTCAGTGGCAGGAAACCCATCCTGGAGCCGGCTGGCATTGGTTCCACCAGATAGGGAAAGCTTCTAGCAGCTTCTAACAGAAGTCACCCCTGTAGCCCCCCTCACTACCAACACCTAGCCACAGAAACCCACTACAACAATTTATATAAAAAGGCATACCTGTTAAATACATCCAAGCACCTTCACAAGGTGTCATACAAACTTCAACAGAATTGAGATTGTTTACTCTTGATGATTCTAAAAATGAACATAAAATTTCACCCACACTCCTCAGTTTTTAGAAATTCCTCACTCTGATTGGTAAGAGAGACTGCAAAATCTAGTGTTACATGTGTAGGGCTACAAGACAAAGCATCACATACATAGTCAAATAAACCTGAAACTCAGATACCTGCACTTGAAGCTCCTACTGCAGTCATCCAAATAGATGGGTTTATCCATCTGTGACAGGCTGGTGTTGGGCTGTCTTCAGGCACTGTCCATCCACTTTTGCACCTGGGTCAGTCTGTTGCACCTCCATCCTTCACATCAGGGTTCTGGTCATCCCTTTCCAACTCATGGAAGAGGAAGAAGACAGGGAATGTGTTGTAGCAGTGGCTCAGAGGAACTTGCAGGCAGGCTTAAATGTCCAGGAGATACACCTATAAGTGTTCAGGCTGAAAAACTATGTCTCAAAGTGACATAGACTCTAATTTCCCAAGGTGATAACTTTGGCTGCAATTGCACTTCTAAGAGCTGCTGCTCATTCTCCTGCTTAGACCGACATCCCATTGAGCCACTCAGTTACCCTGAGGCACCTGCTGAGGTACCTGCACTATACACCAGGTCAGTAAAACCCATCTGTAAAATAATATTCTGGGACAGCATCATAAGGCTCCGTATGATGGAGCTCCTGGAAGGCTCCTAAAAGTCTGAGTGTAATGAGTCCAGTCAAGGCACTGCTGTTCAGAGCCCTGTACCTGGAAGGTAGGATCACGAAGAACTAATCAAGCAGCAAGAGCTCCTTCTAAAATTTCTAAGCCAGGTTAGAGAGCGTAATTTAACTGTGAAATTGGTCCAGGAAAATAGTCCCCTGTTTGCCCTCACTCGGGTGTCTGTAAAGAACAAGTTTAGTGTAATAGAAAGGATCTCTTTGCAGCACCACTGAGCTTCAGAATGGGGATTTTTTAACATTTTTTGCAGATTATATTCAAGTTAAATTTCAAATTGCATTTTTTTAATCATCTCATAATAAAAAAATAAATCCTACATAAACAATTTGAACAACTATGACATAAGAACAATGGCTGATGTGTTATGCTCATGCCACATAACACACATGCCAAACCTAGACAGTTCCTTAATGATACTTTCCTTTCTTACCTCTGCAGACTCCTTTTTGATTTTTATGGTAGCATTTGTCTTTTTTACCAATTTTCCAAGCTTAAGATTTTCTGATGACATAAAGTGTAGTTAATAAAGTGATAGTCAGAAGCTCTTGAATAATCTGCCCAAGGCATTTAGCAATAATTTGCTTGTTCTGTAACCTAATAACCATTTTAGCTTCAGGGTGCAATAAAACAGAAGTGCTAATTCAGTAGTGTTAAAGGAAGACTAATTGTACTGAGGACACATCCTCTTCTCAGCTTAGTCACTTGTGACCCATTGTGAAGCTACCAGAGAAGAGCCAGGCACTCTCCTGTGCTGAATTATTCATGGGCTTATCTGCTTTAAGGGGCTGATAGAAGCATTGTTCATATGGTTGTACTCACCGGAATCTGGCTATACTCTGCTCGACACAATTTAAGAAGCATTCAAGTCATGAACATTCAGATAGGGAAACATAGATTCATGTTCTATGCGATGTTCATCTGATATTAAAAAGACTGGAACATTTATCTAAAAATGAGAGAGAATGTGTGAGAAAACGGAGGAAGGGAAAGTCTCATGAGCAAATCTGTCCATGGATTGTAATCATGGCCTGCACTAAGATGAAACAACTTTCAGCTGCAAAGCTCCCTTGGTTCCATCACCTATAGGTGTGTAACGGTCCCTTTATTTCATGAGCCTTTTACTGTCATCTTTACAGGAATCCAAGAACTGTACAAACAAAAAAATATCTTCTGAAATTTGATTTCTGTATGAAAAAAAATTAAAAACTACATTACTAACATTCAAGCAGAAAGTCTCTAAATTGTTTCAGTGGCAAAACAGGATTCCTTCAAGTGCACAGCAGGTCTTACTTAAGTCACAAGAAGGAAATTCAGTCTCTGTGTACATTCAGTTCTTGACTCAAAAGCTGAACCTGGTAAGTATAGTACAATTTTTCTTCATATTAAGAGATGTGAGTGCCCATAAAAATAATTTCAAATGGTACCAAACAGTCATAATACAATAACACAATCGATCACTATTAGTCTTGGATGAAGCTAAAACAGCATTAATGAGGAGGAACACTCTGTTTTACTTCACTGTGTTTAAGCCACCCAGACATAATTATATAATTTTATTCCCTGTAAAAATTGAAGCTTAAGAAAGAAATCTTTATTCCTCTATGTATCATAAATCATTGTGCAGGGTTTTCTGTTCAGAACAGCTAGTATTTAAGGCCTTGAACATGTAGAGTGATTTAAAGCTAGTGCTTTCCATCACATTTTTATATATACTTGAATCTGAACAGGATGAAAAGCACTGGGCATATGCAGATCTTACATTCTCAACATGTTAACACATTGCATACAAGCAATTTGCTGGTGCTGCTATCTCAGGCATCACACTCTTTAGTTCAAACAATTCTTACCAGAGGCAGCCTGAAATGAGAACCAGGCAGGAGGAATGGTGTGTTCCTCTCAAATCTTACGTGCTGCCTAGAACTGTTACAAAGAAGCCATAATTTTAATATATGCACAATTCTGTTTTAAAATACACTATCTCAGGCCAAAGGGGTAAAGCTACAGAGTCTGTCTGAAGGGAGGTCCAAATTTAATGGAAAACCAGAAAATTTCACTCTACTAGAACTGTTTCCTAGCTCAGATAAACTGAATCTCCTGGTGGAACTAGGAACGTGGAGACAGAGGAGGAGGACCTAGCCCCAGTGGCTGCATATAGCTGTACATATGGATATAATATTTATATCTCAGTATTAGACTTAAAATACATTGTCTGGATTATGCTGATATGCTCTAAACCAATCATCCTGTTTAAAAATTAGCTAAATTCTTTAGCAATTGCAATCACACAAATGCAGCTGTTTGAGTGTCGCTCCACGTTGAAAATATAAGCATTTGTATTCATTAGGTTCAGAAAAAATTGCAAAACTCAAAAAACAAGGGACTTCTGCTAGGTGTTGATGTAGCCAAATATGCACCAATCCAGCAAGTCAATACATGCCAGTTTTACTTATCTCTCAGACAGAGCTGACCTCCACTTAACTGTGAAAACGTTAAAACCCTTTCTCATTGATCTGTTTGTTTAGTTTGAATTTGTCCTATTAACAGATTCTCTGTCAGTCTCATAATGGAACAAGGCACTCACTAAGAGAACCAGTAGAGAATTTCTCTATGAATTTTCAGGGCGACGCAAAGTGTAGTATTGCATGAAAGCGCTGTTTTCCAATGGTAAGAGAGGACAGCACATGCTTCCTTATGCACAACTCTCATGAGCAAAGGCAATGGTGTTTTGTAAGGAGATCAATAAAGAAGCTTGCAGCACAGAACAAAGAATGCAATGGAGACCTCATTGTCCATCAGGTTTTGCCCACCTTGAGTGACAGAATGCCACTCCATTCAGATACATTCATGTCAGGGTAACAAGCCAGTGTTACATCTTTGTATCTCGATGGCACATTATTACAAATAAACACGTCATAAATGTGAATACTACAAAGCTGAGGTTCTGCCACTACCATAGAGATGGGGCTAGGAAAATATGGGCATCAGAGTAGAAACCCAGAGATGCATTGTTCACGGCTCAGTGAGTGAATGAATATCCCCATTCTTTGAAGCATCCAGTGTTGGATTTTGCCTGGCACAAGCTTACCTGAAACTGTAGGCTTTACAAAGGTTACTCTCCTATCTGTAAAGAGCTATACAGCAGGTGCTCACATGCTGCATGATGCTCAGCTCTGCAGTCCTCTACTTTAATCAGAAGTCTCTGTGTGTGTTAGGAAGAAAACATGAGGGACAGATGCCTAAATGGACAAGGCATTGTCCTACTTCAACCTCTTTTAGTGCAGAATCTCTTGAATAACTAGTTAGCCCCGATATTTGCCCTTATTATGAAAACTCTAATGAAGATTCTTCAGGAAAATATCTATATAAAAGGATAATATTAAAGCTTCAAATCAGTTGTTCTTGTGTACAGGAACAGACTCATGAGCTCTATTTTGCAATCCAAAGGGTTCTACAATTACAAATCTTCTGTAGTCTTATTTGATCTGTATATGGATTTACATTCCTTCCATATTTTCCCCTAGATTAATTCTGTGCAGCTGGAAGCTTATCTATCCAACTGTTTCGGTAAACACAGAATTAACTTAATGGCCAGAAAGTGCCAAACACTGCATATTTAGTGCAAAGATAATCCACTGTCCACTCTGGATATTCAACTGCCAAAATTCTTCTATCATTTGTCATGTTGTCTCCCACATACTTACAATTGTGATGTTCCTACTTTCAGGTCTGAATCTATCTTTAGCCATTATGGGCATGTCCAGCATAATGTTGGTACCTTGGCTGACTTTTTACTTTGCTGTGTTGCAGCACTTTACAGTTCACCACTTCTGCTTATTCAGACAAACAGTCTGTCATATCCCTAGATTCCAGATATTTCTGTACCAGCACTATTTCCTTGTCATCATGGCTGGGCTTCGCGAACAAAGATCTGGGAAGGACTCTACCCACATTTGTCACAAGCGCGCTGGTGGCTAAAAAGGCCAATACGAGATAGACATATCCGATTGCAAAAGGCACAGCAGAAAGACTCCTTAGATGGTATCTTCTGCAAGACACAATTCTTTCTGCGTTGCCTTTTCTCCTCGAGAGTGATCCTGCGTGTGTTCTCAAAGGAGACAGCTGCGTTATAGATGGTGTGTCTCCAGGCCTCCTGATTTGAGGCCAGAGTAGACCAGTTATGTTGATCAATATGGCCAAGGCTGAGATGTTGTTTCAGGGAGTCCTTGTATCTTTTCTTTGGGGCTCCTCTCTTGCGGCAGCAGGTGGCAAGTTCACCATAAAGCAAGATCTTAGGGAGGTGGTGGTCCTTCATCCTTGTATCTTCATTCTAATGGTTGCATTGGCATTTTAGAAGAGTGCTGTATGATATCTGTGTCCAGACAATGGACCATGTTAGAATACACTGAAGAGGCTTCCCAGTTTTTCTGTGTGTTTTCCTGCAAGGAAACAAGAGCCCATGAGTGAGCTGGAGTACCCATGTCCTCTCCTGGCAGACAGGTGTAATGCACACTAGGACCAGATCAGGCCAAGCTGCAGAGAGCATCACAGTGTAGGTAATGTCTTCTTGTACCATTGAGGCACATATTCAACTCACTGCATGCCTTAGAGGTAGCTCAGTCTTTCCTCATACCTATGCCTCCTGCTGGACCCTTACAGAGCATCTCTCCAAGATTTTGCTGTCCCTTTTCTATCACAGTCCTCTTACCATGTGTTCGGTCCTGCAAATGCAAACCTAGTTGAGCGGTGAGGACACGCAAGTTGCTCTGATCATCTTTTCAGCCTCACTTCTGTGAAGAGTTGAAGAGCTGAATTTTGTTTGCTTTGTTAGCAGCTTATATTTTTCCAAATATAGGAATCCTTTCATGAATGAAAATTTGTGAAAATCTGCAGATGCATAAAAAATTATTGTTCTGGGTAAGTCATAGAAGATAGAAACCATATCATATAAGTCAGCCAGCCAGTCAGGCAAAGGAAATTGTGAGCTCTCTGTGGTGATTACTCTAAGGAATGGTTGTTATGAACAAGCTAAGCAGTTCACTAGCAAAATTATGTCCATTAAGACAACTCCTCCTCAAAAAAAAAACAGCTGGGGAAAAAAAAAAAAAGCCAATGAGTGGAGGGAAAAAAAAAAAAAACAAAACTAGCAGGCTGATCTTCCCTGAACTAGAACATTTTGCCAGCCAAGCATGTTCAAAGCACAGATAACAGACTTCATTACTTGAGCCTTGACTTGCTGATTTGAGCTGCAGTTTGCAGAAAGTATTCATACAATATATGCAAATAAAGAAGCATTACTATAATTGTTATTATTATCATTACTATTGGCTTTGGTAGTGTTGTTATAATCATCATCGTTACCATTATTATCACTATTAGCAGCAATATCATTGCTATTCAACAAGCTGCTATTTACTTCTATCTCCATAGTTTTTAAGAACTACAGCCGTGGTTTAAGACTACACTATACTTACTACCTTTATCCAGTCAAGCAATGTCCATAGTGATAACTTCCTTAGTTTATGGTCTTTTTTACACCTGTGCTCAGCTCTGCAAGAGAAGGATGTTAGAGGATGTCTGACTTCCACACTTGGTTCCCTGCAGAAACAATGATTTTGTATTTGACCTAAAAGTCAAAGGGACTGCAAATATTGGTGAACAGATCAAAAATGATTTTCACATTAAAATCTCTCTGTAAATACTTCACAGTGATGAACAGGCCAGTATTTTAAAATGTCTGCTCTAAGAACAACCCTTAATAAATTACAAAATAGCTGAACTACCCAAAGCTACCACTACTAATCTGCGCACTTGCAGCAGAAGTGTTTTATTGAAAGACAAATGCTTATGTGGTTATATTTATGCAAGAGACCATGGCAGTTTGTAAGAAGTAAATCACCATGTCTATACCAGTCCCTTCTCCATCCTCCCTGAAAAGAGGGCACCAAGCACAGAGTCAGCCCCTGTCAAACTAAGAAGTGTTTGAGGTTACTCAGCACTAAAGCAGAGTGAGTCACATTATATTAGGAAGCTCTGAAGATGAAGCCTCTTCCAGGAGGTCCTTCCCCTTGTGCCATCAGCTGTATTCCAGGCCCAAGCATGAGTCTTTCTCTGGGGTCTAAAGCTTCACTGTGAAACCAGGGCTCTAGTTCACATACCTCTTGGTGGACTATATTTTCACACCTGATGATTGCCCAGCAAACAGACACTGATGAACCTAGGAAGCTATCCTTCAATTTCTTTGTGATTACAGTGGCTTTTCCTGTTGCAAATGCCACGTCCTAGGGATCAACAAATTAAAATATGAGTTTGGTTGTTCATGTGTCCTGAATTTACCTTAGCTATTCTGCTCAGTTTTACACCAAAGGACATGAGAAAATGAAGCAGTTGGCACACGACATGTTGTGATATAGACCTATAGTTAGTAATACACTAAATGGTAAGCAACTTCAAAGTACTTCACATCTACTTCAAGCTTAGGCATACATGTGAATAGTTTGGGAAGAAAGCTTACAGGCTCCTGTAATTGTGAACCTGTGTCATAGAAATATAGACTGATAGGGTAGTTCAGGTTGGAAGGGACTTCTGGAGGTCTCCAGTCCAACCAACTACTCAAAAGAGGGTTAGCTATAGACTTGGACCAGAGTGCTCAGTCAGGTCTCAAAAAGCTCAAAAATTTTTCCCATATTATATGTCGCTATGTAATTCTGCTACTACTGTGAGGCTGCATATTGACAGCATGTGGAAAAGATCTATAGTCAAAGAAATTGAGAGTATCAATCAATAGAGGTAGAACATTATTCTTCTCATCCTGAATCCTGTCACAAGGTGGGACAGTAAATATAAATGGAGGCACACTCAGCATATTCTTATTCAGAGCAGGAAAATTAAAGTAATTGGGAAATTCACTGTCGTGAATGAGTGGTTTAGGTCATTTAAGGAATCACCATCAAAGATATTAGCAAAAGCATGTTTAATACAAATTTGAGAAAGTGTGACTTAAAGTTCTGTGGTAAGGTTCACTGTGTTACTTACTATATGAATGAAACATACAAAGGAAAAACAAGAGTACAATCAATTTAGAATGATTTACACAGAGACTACAGATGCAAAGAGGTAAGGATGCAAACAGGTAAGGGAGACCCTTCCTTTGAGACATAAGGTTCAGAATAGATCCCCTTGCTTTCTAAACTCCCGTTGGAGATTAGGTGTGACTAGATTCAAATTTAGTCTCAGACTTGGACAGCTGTGTATATCTAAAGGATTTAGCAGCACTTAATCATTGACTAATTTAACATTTACAAAATTATTCAATAGAATTTACTACAGTTACAACAGTGACTCAATTATAGCTCAAGATAGCAACATACATAGTATACTTTCCATGGGGTATTTAAATTTATTCACACACAAACACAAAAATACACAAAGATGCACATATGTGAATGTACTAATGTATACCTTGAGGGTTCTCCTCAAGTTCAGAGAAGTACTCATATTGAATGCCTTTGAATTTCTCAGTGTGCAAGATTTGAGCCTCCAGGAGGGGGGGTGTCAGCCCAGGCCCCAATGTCAGCTTCTGGTGTGTTCTGAGTATTGCCAAACTGAGAGTTTGGAAGCTTTAAGAGGTGTCCCACTGAGAGAGAGAGAGGTTGGTGCAGCCTATTGTGGTCCAGGAGAACACAAATGGCCTCACTTAGAACCACTGTTTATAGGGTCACAAGATGATTGGCTTTAGTCACCTGTCAATCTCCACCCTGGTCCTAGTGCAAAATGGTAATTACTGTAGACTTTTAAAAAGACCAGTAACAATGATATCATTCCACTTGGGCTATGATTCATGCAAGTGATGTTTCAGGGCTGTCAGGGGATGACTTGTCACCCTCCTTGGTCAGGGAGCTGAAGTTCCTGGTACAGATAATGTCGCCCCCTGCTTAGTCATGCAAGAGTTTCTGATAAGGTTAAGGAGCACTTCAGGAACTATCAGTGCACGGCCCCATGACCACCCTGAGCCTCACTTGCCTCCAATATATCGTCATCCTGACACTTTACTACTTCATGTCTTAAGTCATAATAAATGCTTATTGTGTTCATAGCCTTAAATGCATTACTACTGATAAACTTTGGGGCAAAGACAGATTTCATTATAAAATAATAACACAGCTATAACACCAAGAAAAATCTGAAAGAAAGCAGAGAGAGAAACAGACACATTCTTCTACCTTGGTACGCTGGCCTGTCTTCATTTGCAAGCCACATAAGTTAGCAGGTGTGTACTTGACTCCACTTTATAGAATACACACTAGCAACAAAATAATTTTCTTTATTAAATGGTAAGAATTTATGTTTCTATACAAAATGCAGCTCAGAGAATATGTGACCAGGATATATAACACCCTTCCCTTTTGTCTTTACAATAACTTTAAGTCTCTCTCCTACAGCTCTTAATAAAGTAGAAAAAGGCCATATTTTTTCAACTAATTTCTTTAGCATTTCTCAGTGGGTATTTATTTATGGGAGGCAACTGTCGTATTCGAAACATACTAAAGGTTTCCAGCACAAGAGAGAAACAGCCAGTGTATACAGAACAAAAACTTTTCTTTCTCTTTTGTCTGTGTTCAGATTACCAGGCAAGGGGTCAGCCTGATATGCATCTTATATAACCAACTGGGCAGCAGTGAGTAATTCTCAACTAGTGATAAGGTACAGATGTGAAATCACCTACTTTACTCAAGAAAATCTACCTTTGAGAAGACATTTCATTTCATTCTTTTCAGTGTCCTGATGGACATTTTCAGTTATCAGTGTTTTAGTTTTTATGATGTCCTTCATTCCAAAAGATCTCCAAAGGCACATACAGCTACATAAATACTTTCATCCTGATATGAGGTTCTGCAACTATTACATGTACTAATTACATGACTGCTCGAGGCAGGAAGTGGTATTCTCTAACAA